AAAAACTTGTGAACGGCATCGTCTTGTGCCTAGCCGTTCGTTTGTGTGTTCCATCCTTGTCTAGGGGAGTGCTAACTTGCTCTCCTTCCAAACAACACAAACAAACGCGCAGCTGAACCCCCGTTTTATATGCGAAGCTCGGCGAATAAACAGTTGGGAATTATAACAGAATGTGTGCTGGCTGAGAGACAAACAGAAGGTATATTATATATAAGTGATCAATATTTTATGATAGTTTTCAAAATCATATAAACTACTAAATATAGGTAAGGGAATATATTAGTATTAGTTGACATGTATTATTATTTTCAAATTCCAAATGCATTCATACTTTTTATTTAGTTCGTCCATTTTTAATACAGTACACAATATTCTGTGCAAATATCAACTCTATATTAGTTATATGACGACATGGTCCGTCCGTAAAGCTTAATTATGCTGACGTATAATCGAAGATAACAGATCTTATTTACTTCCACGTAAATGCCATTAAATCTGTTTGTTTTGATACTTTGAACGTTTCGCAACTTTCTGTTCATTTGATAAAACGGAGACGTATCTATAAAGAGGGCACAGTCCAGTTGAAAATAAAACAAAGGCAAACATATTATTTTTTCCTTTTTTTTTAATATGGATTTTTACAAACTTTAAACGCCATTTATTATTGTCTTTAAGTATTGTTTCAAAATTGTAATGTAATTACATGAGCTATCCATAAATTACAGAGATTGAAAAGCCAATTCTCTGGCATTTATGAATGAAAATATATATATGTATAGAAGATTTATATATACGGATATATTAATAGTGTGAGATGTGCCCAACTCTTTATCAATGCCAGTTATCCAGAAGTATGAGTAGAATATGTATATATCTATATTTTGAGATTGTTTCTCACAAGCTGGGCACATTTCACAGCATATATAGCTAGATTTGTGTGATGTATAATAGAATCGCTACATAAATATTGTGTATCGTATATCATATAGTACAGGGAAAGATGTGCAACTCACACACAACATCTATAACGACTTCTTCAAACACGATTTATTAACGGCCATTGGCATTTGGAATGACCTGAACTAAAATCCCTAAACAGTTAAAACTAAACAAAACATTGTTTAGAAATACTATACGAAATCACTTTTTTGGCATTGTGCGATCATCGAAAACAAGCTTTAAACTTAACTAAGCTGGACATAAAACAAAACGTAAAATATTTGCTAAATTCAACCACAATTGTTTTTTGGCCTTGGGAAAATGCTAATTATTGTCTGGTACTGAACTTTAATTATTATACTAGACTAAATAAATAAAATCGGCTTAAAAGAGTTCAAAATCAAATCTAAATCAAAGCACCTGGCGACGTCAACGTCTTCTGGGCAACAAAAAGCAAAAACCAAGACAAAAATCGCAAACTAAAAACCTATTTGTATACGGGAAAGCTTATCGTAGGGTTGTAGTCGAACAAAAAGTAAAGAACAGTAAAGCCTTTGTCGTAAATTCGCACACGATCATAAAAATTATTGGAGTGGGTATCTATCTAGTCTATGCTCGGATTTAAAATTTGAGCCACGCTGGCCCAGGTGCCAAACACAAAGCCGCAGAGACCAAATATCAATATGAGAAAATCCTTCCACAGCATCCAGTTGTAGCGGCCATAGCCCTGATTATAGTAGGTTATTATCTCAATGATAGGCGGCGCAATGAGCGCTAACGCTGAGCTGCTGACGGCGCCGACGAGCGAGATAATCGAGCCCAGATTGGGTATGACGGCGGCCAAAATAACTAGAATAGAGAACGACTCCAAAATTAGACACATTCTTCTCTTGCATAGACAGTAGAAGACAATAGAATGTGAAAGAAACATTGAAGAGAAAGAATAATATAGCATGAAGGAAACAATTTGGGAAAGAAGAGAGAACGTTAAGAGTCGAAGTATATACAATTCGCATATTAAATAAATTACATAAATTACTGTATGCATATGAAATACGAATGTTAATATGAAAATTGATATGAGCCACGGGAATAAGAGATATTTTATTTTTTAACATTCAACAAAAGAACATTTACTAAAGTGAATAAAAAATTCCTGCATAATGCAACAAAACCAGAAAAAAACTAAAAATCCGAAAAGCAATGAAATGAACAAAAGTATACAGAAAATGGAAAAAAAAAATATATACATATATATATAGAATGGGAGAGAGATTTGGTACGATAAAAAACTATGCATTTCATGCAAATTGAACGCTAAACACTTAACCGAAAAAAATATACTAAACAAATATATAATTTCTCAATGAATCAGATGTTTTTATTTGATTTTAAGTACTTTATAAAAAAATTGGTAATTTAAAAAATATATATAAATATATATCGATACACAGCCCATTTCAGAAAAATACCAAAATATATATATTTAAACTTGTTAATATAATAATATATACTGATCTAATACACACCTGAACCGCCGTAATTCTAAACCTCTATTTTAAATGAAATATATACAGATATGAAAGCAAATGAGGGTGCGATATTATTAAATAAATATGCAGGGCATGCTTAATATAATTATTAAAAACAGAGGCGGATAGATGGATAGATAAAGACAAAGATATATAGATGCAAATATTCACAAATTAAAATGAATATATAAATAAATAGCTTGACTTACAGGTAAATGTGACCAACACTGTGCGTAGCACCGTCGCCGCCAAATCCTTAGCGCGCGTCGTATCAAAGTTGCTGCGCACAAAAGGCTCCACCATATTGACAGGCACATAWAATTGTAGRGTAWMCGACAGAAATATAGCCACGGCCATGGAAATGCGTACCAGTTGCGATAGACTGGGCGGGGGAGAGAACATCATTTAATTATTGAAATATACATATATTTGATCAATTCTATATATCTACTTACACATCACCCTGTGGCAAATTGAGCGTAATGCTGCCCTTGACACTCTCACCGTACTTCAAGTAGCCAAAGAATCCAACGGAGGTGTACAGACAGGCCACAATGACCATGCCCGTGTTGAGAACCCCAGTTGTGCCGCCAAAGTCTTCGGGTGTGCGCATGTTATTCTCCAATGGCAGCACCACGCCAATGCCCTCGAAGGCATAGATCGCCGTGCCAAAGTACAGCGGCAATGTGGCCCAGGTGGCGTACGGCTTAACCGTATGCGTGTCGGGMAAATCGTGCAGCATATACGAAAAGCTAATGGCTAAGCCGGCCACCGTCAACACGGCCGCAATCAGAGAGACTGGGGTCAGGTACTTCAGGTTGCGCACCAAATTCAACAGCACCATKGGCAAGAGCATCAACAGCAGGTAGATGCGTACATCCAGCTTAAAATAGTGATCCATCACATCCTTAATGTTGAGCGCCACGAACAGAAAGTAGACACAGCAGAAGCCAATCTGTGTGATGAACAGAAACGTGGTCACAACTCGTCGCGCCAAGTGCGAGTAGCGTCGCAGTCCCAATGGACCCGTGTCGAAACTGCAGAAAGCCACCTCCGAAAAGTCCAAAGACGGCTGCTGCAGCCGTCGGCACAACTCATGCGAGCAGTTGACCAGCATGTGCATGCAATGCGTGCAAATGGCGCCCATTATCAGGGTGCCAAAGAGACCCACATAGAGGCCGGCGTTCTTGAATGCCTCCGGCATGGCCAATATGCCCGTGCCAATGTTGCCTTTTAGCAGATGCACCAACGTATCGAAGTTCGATGTGGGATGTTCGAGCGCGCGATGGTGTGTGGGATTGTAGAGCGACTTGCCCTGCTGCTCCTCGCCCGTCTGGCTGCTCTGTTCATCATCATCATCACCGTGGGCTGCCGCGTGTACTGTGTTAACAAATTGATTATTTATTAATATTTTATTTATATATGTTTTTGTTAAATTTTTTATTTTCATTCCCCAATAAAGACATTTGCTTAAATTTACATTAGAATGGTTTTCTTTGAATATTTTCATACTGTTAACGTATAGAGTAGTAGTAGTAGATTTACCTTCATTTTATAACACCTCCAACCTCTTAACAAATAAATAAATATTTATGCATATTTAAATACTTTTCTCGCTTTGTTCTACAGTTTTCATATGCCAAAAATCATGTAAAATATAGATTAAAGCAACATACACCTATCATAATCTGTATATTTTAATCTATATTATATATCTCTTCCGCTGGCTTTATCATATCGGTCGTTCTCTCTAGGAAAAACGTTCGACGTTCAAAAAAGAATTGCACCATGCCCATTAATTATGATTCTTATCAAAAATCGTATTTATATATAGCAAACAAAGTCATCGATTACGAAATAGAACATGTTGTCTACAAATATTGTTTTTGTTTTGTGTTTGCGGCTTTCGGTTACGTATTTGGGAAATATATATTTATATAAAATCAAGGTAAAAATTGAATTCGGAAATTTAAGAATACCATATAAAATACCCTTACAAACTTAATCATTTTAATTTAAAGTTCTAGAAAAACTAATCTCTCTTGTAGCAACAGATCTATTATAATCGTTAATTATAGATTTAACAAATAATCCTGACGCAGTAAAAAGAACTAAAAGGGCTTTTAAAAAAAATTTAAAAAATTAAAACAAAAATTAAAAAATTGCCATAGTAATATATTTTCTTCAACGGCTGCCTTCGAAAGCTGGGCTTAGCAATTGATTTATTAATAAAACTTTAACTTAAAGTTAATGCCATCAGGCTTTTAATTTTGAAACATAAATTCACTCTTAAAACTAGTATTACTATGTTTTATTATTATAAAATACCAGCTTAATGTCGATAATTAAAAATCTAATTTAATTCTCCTATTTTCTCTTAAGATTCAACTCTTATACTGTTGTAAATACACATTCAAGTGCCAACTTTAAGCAAATGTCATTTGAGCATAGGGAAAACAATGGAAACTTACCTGCGATGCTGTCCTCGCTGTGCACATTGACCAGCGTACTGTCCGGCGGTGAGCTGCGTACCGGCGGTCGGATTAAGCCGTTTCCGCTGCGATTGCCTTCATAATCGGAATTGTCGCTTTGCTGCAGCAGCAGCGGCTGTCGCTCGGACATCTTCGGCTTGCGCTTGGCGGGCTCGGCAAGCTGGAAGATCAATTGGGTCAGAGAAAGAGAGCCGACAAGAGAATAGAAAACTCGATGAATGCTGATGGATGTGTGTGCGTGTGAATGCGCGCTCGTGTGTGCGTGTGTGCGTGTGTGAGGGCAGGGAGAGAATGTGGGTAGTTGATGCGCTCGCCTCGCCAGCTGAAGTCACACTGAAAACAGAAACACTGTAAATGCCGCTCTTCGGTCTGGCAAATTTTCCGCTGACTCAGTTTTTCTACAGAAACTCGGACAACGGGCGGATTATGTGTGCATGATAAGGGATATGGAAGGAGAAGTGGAAGTGGAAGTGGAAAGTTTTCAGAGTGCAACTATAATGGACTGATATGAATATAAGCCTTGGACTTGGACTTGATCAGTTGCAAGCTCGACTTGATTGCATATACAGATATGAATATATTCGCATATAATGAAAACATATATGCACATTATTCATAAAACGATATCAAATCGAGCAGGCCAGTGACTCATTTGATTTTGGTTCTAACGTGGGGGCTCAGGCACAAAAAACAAGCCGCGAGGCGATAAGCATTCATTATTTATTTATTTCATATATAGAAATTTTATATAGTCTGTCAAATCTCGCCATGTCGAAATGCGTGCGAATTAAGTAAATATCAGCCCATTGATACGCCCACAAATACTAAATGTATATAAAATACATAATGGACATACAAAAGAAGTTGTTTAAACCTGTTCTATGTAGTTATCTTATCCCGCCTGGTAGACTTTGTTTTGCTAAATGCTTTGTGTAAACATTATAATATATATAAAGCTCTTTATGACTTTGTTATTAAATTATCTAACTGTGTCAAAGGAATATAAACAAATATGCATGTTCTGATATGATTTTCTTAAGGCTAAAGAATCAAAAGATCGTTTACATCTAAGAGGAATTCATAAATTAAAAAATAAAAATATGAATTAAATCTCAATATATGAACGTTTACTGTAGTTATAGATTTTTTTTATTATGCTATTGAAGATTAAAAATTAATCATTTGATAAAATATTTCGTTATAAATAAAAATATTTTTATGAATTGATAGCACATTTCTGCGTAAGAGATAGCATACAAACCTATGCCTAAAGATAACCAAAACTAATACCTATATAAGCAATTAAAAACTAGTTGGCCTAGAACCAGATCCAGACCCAGACCTAGACCTAAAGACAGACCCCAACTCAGACCCACAAACAGACTGAGACTGTGGCACGTTCCAGGCACTCACATTTCCAAGTAGCTCAAAATACAATAAGCTCAATTGTGCAACTTAGACGACATATGATTCAAATAAAAAGAAAAACACTTACAAATAAAAATTCTAGATAAGTTATCTAGATACTGTAGTAAATGGATATGCGGGCAGTTGGCGCGTTGATTGCGCTGGCAGTTAAGAAAACATATAAATAACGTTCAACTAAAACTGTAAGGAGAAACATAAATGAAAATTAACTGAAATTAATCGTAGTTGGTATACCAACTATTTTCCACATACCTGTTGAAGGTTTGTCAATGGGGTTAAGTCTTCCATTGATTTTCTTGCTTTGACTTGTCTTTGTTGTTGGTTTTTTTTTTTCTCTTTTATGCGCTGCTGACACTGGCAATGAATGTGGCGCAGCGAAGGTCACGGCGTCGAATTTAGTACAATTCCTGTTGAACAAAGAGCATATGTTATTACTCGTTTTTAAATGTAAATTGATTATTCGCAAACAAAACATGAATGTATGTTTATACATATGTATGTAGATCAAGCGTGCAGATTTCTTTGCACATGTGTGTATTGTTGTTGTTGTTTGCTAGCTACTCGGATTTATATTGCACAATTTGCACACACACACACACATACACACACCTGCAGCAGAGTGTGCAGCATTGCAGTATTGAATTACACTTTAATGAATGAGCATTGACTCAGTTTCTTGGTGCTTTGCCATACGAACGTTGCACAGGTAACACGTAAATTATCAATACCTTGCTAGAGCCAATGATGACGCGACCACAAACAAAACAAAACCAAAACTCTTGGTCTGCTTCTTCTTAGCGCAGACATTCGAGCCATGCCATTCACAGCGCTACGGCTAAATTGCTGGCGTTTTCCAACACTAGTTGCCAGGCGTTTTACGTGACGTGTCTGCCGTTCTGCAAACAAATTAATAACAAAATAAATTGAATATTGAAGAAAGAAATAAAAATAAAGCCCCAAAATGGTTGAAATCAGCAGCGTAATTTCCAAGTTTTACAGCGACTACGTGCAGAACACACCGAAAAAGCTAAAACTCGTGGATATCTACTTGGGCTACATTCTGCTAACCGGCATCATACAATTTGTTTACTGCGTCCTGGTGGGCACATTTCCCTTCAACTCATTCCTCTCGGGCTTCATCAGCACCGTCAGCTGCTTTGTGCTGGCCGTTTGCCTGCGCCTGCAAGCAAATCCACAAAATAAGGCCGTCTTCTCGGGCATCTCACCGGAACGTGGCTTCGCCGACTTCATATTCGCGCATGTTATTCTCTTTTTGGTAGTCATGAACTTCATTGGATAAATTAAACACATAAGTGATTTACGCTGCTAAAATCCATTCGTTTATCGGAATAATTAAATGTATAACTTAAAATAACAAACATAATGTTTCGTTTTGTCTTTATATGTAGCGATAGCAATTCGTGTAGGCATGCAGGAAATCAAATTCATCGAATGTAAAATCCATTGTCAGCTCCGGCTCGGGCATTAAAAGCTGCACATACTCAATTTTCTCTAGATAGTCGGTGAGTATTGGTTCGGCCATATTATATTTGTTGGAATCCCGAGGTTTTGTCGTTCTCGGTCGCTCCATTTCACGCAACGAGTCGTTCACGTTGATAGGTATCAAGTCCTTGAATACTGTTTGTGTTGATGGAAAGTTCAGCTTCTTGACAACCTAAATGTTGAACATATATATAGAGATTTATAAACTGGTTGTATACTTGTTTATACCTTGGGTGCAATAGACGCCTTGGTGCGTGGCGTTAGGTCCAGTTGAAGATCCACGCGCATATTCCGAACTGAATTGACCTCAACCTGGGTGCGCACCATGGTATTGAACTGCGGCACTGCAAACTTATTGGGCGCAGTCTCTTGAGGAACTATGGGTGCCTTTTGCACCTTCTTTTCTTCTGGTGGCGAAAAGTTTTCGTCGGTGGCGCCATTGTGTGCTTTAACGCAAACGTTTGGCGCTGATGACGCTAACTGCACCCGGCGTGACACTTGTTTTGGATTATACTGCAAGCGTGTTTTGCGCTTATGCGGCATTTTGAATTTTTACTTAATTTATTTATTTTTTTTTTTTTTACAAAGCGAATTTGGATTAGTTTTCAAATGTCTACAATGGTGCTGACAGAAAATTGATGTTTTACAACACTGGGGTGAGCCACATCTGTGCCAATGCGAGTAACTATGTCAACGTTTTACCACACTGCCACCGCATTGGCGAACAGCTGTTTTAGTTTCATTCTGCTGTTAATACAAATTCTATTTTGATTATAAATTAAAGTATGGCCCTATCGCGTGCTCGGCCTAATGAACTGCCAACTGATGCAGTCATCATTTCAGAAGATCACGCGCTGCGATACCAGTGGAAGATCATAACATCCTGGGACAAAATCGGAGAAGTGTGCGTACAAAATTCAAGTCGCTTATCTAACCGCTGATACCCTGATTATATTTGTATAGATGGTCCTTGCGCTATGCGCCCGGCATACTCAGCGCCATGGCGGCCGCAACGGGCGCCTACGTGAATAATCATTACCGCAGACGCTTACGTCTGGGTGCCCATGGTCGTCTTTCCAGCTATTTGCCCATTGTAGTCGTGCCAGCCATCTTCACAATGCTGACACATAAATTCTTTATACAGAGTCCGTTGCTGTTGAGGCCTTTAACTGAGTGCCCCGTGTGTACGCAGGTCCGCAGCGCCGCCATCCAAACGGCATTGGGTGTGGTGTATCCCACGATTTTGGCACCCTTCGCCGCCTTTATGTTCGCCAGCAGATGCTATACCTATCGATTGCCTTCTATAACGGAAAATCCACGGGAAGTCTTTATGCTGTATCGAAAGCTAACACGCCCTATTATTCCTGCAATTTCCACACTTATTGCGATACAAGCATTTATAACCATGTACCTGACGGGCAAGGAGGAAACGCAGAACTATAATATAATGCTGCGTATGAAACAAATTGAACAGGAGGTGGAGGAGCAGCATATGCCACAACGTTTTGACTTTTAATTAATATAAAAAAGAAATTGCTTACAATTGTTGTATTTACTTGAAAAAATGTGTGTTTTACAATTTCGGCGCCAATTGCACGTAAAGTTGATTTAGTCATCGATATTTAACGGTTTGAATGTTAGCTCGATAGTGATGGGTATCGAACTTGTGCGGCAAAATAAAAAAAAGTCGGGATGAACGATACTGGAGCTTTCTTCACTCATTGCAAACTGGCTCACAGCTGAACTTGCCGCATTGGAATCGGTTCAACTTACACGTTGCTGCAGTCGGTTGACGAAATTGTTTTGTATTTGCATTTAATTCTTCCAAACGTGAGTAATGCGCAACTAATACATATACAAATTGTGTCATAAAATAAACAACTTCGTGAAAGTGTAACAATATAATAGATTTTGTACAATTTAGTCACGTCAAAGACAATTTGTGCACTTTCACATTTTGCATTGAATACAATTACATATACGAACGCAATTTTCCGTCGCGTGGCAATGGGCCAAAACTAACCTTTTTTCCTTTGTCTGCTGCACTTTCAGTCAATATCAACAAAAAATATACAAGATGAAGTTCCTCACCGCGAAGGAGGTGCGCGATGCCTACCTGAACTTCTTCAAGGAGCAGAAACATATCTACGTTCACTCGTCGAGCACCATTCCGTTGGACGATCCCACTCTGCTCTTTGCCAACGCCGGCATGAATCAGTTTAAGCCCATTTTCCTGGGCATCGCTGATCCCAATAGCGAGATGTCCAAATGGGTGCGTGTTGTCAACACACAAAAATGCATTCGCGCTGGCGGCAAGCACAACGATCTGGATGATGTGGGCAAGGATGTTTATCACCACACGTTCTTCGAGATGTTGGGCAATTGGTCGTTCGGTGACTATTTCAAGAAGGAAATCTGCAGCTGGGCATGGGAATTCCTGACAGACCGTCTGAATTTACCAAAGGATCGCCTGTATGTCACCTACTTTGGCGGCGATGCAGCAAGCGGTCTGGAACCGGATCTGGAGTGCAAGCAAATGTGGTTGGATCTTGGATTGAAACCCGAGCATATTTTGCCCGGCAGCATGAAGGATAACTTCTGGGAAATGGGCGAAACTGGGCCGTGTGGTCCGTGCTCAGAGCTGCATTTCGATCGCATTGGCGGACGCAGCGTACCCGAGCTGGTGAATATGGATGATCCCGATGTTTTGGAGATATGGAATCTGGTGTTCATACAATACAATCGCGAATCCGACGGTTCCCTAAAGCAGCTCCCCAAGAAGCACATCGATTGCGGCATGGGCTTCGAGCGTTTGGTCTCTGTCATCCAGAATAAACGCTCAAACTATGATACGGATTTGTTTGTGCCACTCTTTGATGCCATACAGGCGGGCACTGGTGCTCCGGCCTATCAAGGACGTGTAGGAGCCGACGATGCCGATGGCATTGATATGGCTTATCGTGTGCTAGCCGATCACGCACGCACGATAACCATAGCTTTGGCTGATGGCGGCAATCCCGATAATACGGGGCGAGGCTATGTACTTAGGCGTATTCTGCGTCGCGCTGTGCGGTAAGGGAAGCATGCTGATTATATTTGTATATATATTTATATCGATTCCTTTCCAGCTATGCTACTGAGAAGCTGAACGCTAAGCCTGGATTCTTTGCCACTTTGGTGACTACCGTTGTCGAACTGCTGGGCGATGCCTTTCCCGAGGTCAAAAAGGATCCACAGCACATTATGGACATCATTAACGAGGAGGAGCAGCAGTTCTTGAAGACATTGTCACGTGGTCGCAATTTGCTAAATCGCACCATTGAAAAGCTGGGCGCCGATCAGAAGACCATACCCGGCGATGTGGCCTGGCGTTTATATGACACTTATGGTTTTCCTGTGGATCTTACCCAGCTAATGGCCGAGGAGAAGTCTCTGCAGATCGATATGGCTGGCTACGATGCGGCCAAGCATAATTCCTATATACTTTCGCAAGGCAAAGGTGCCAGCAAGATCGATGAGATCAATCTGGATGTGCACGCCATATCGGAGCTGCAGGACAAGGGCGTTCCACCCACCAACGATTCCTTTAAATACATATACGAAGCGGAGTCCAATGAACGCGACTCCGCCTACAAATTTAGCGATTGCACCAGCAAAATCGTCGCATTGCGATATGAGAACAAATTCGTGCAGGAGATTACCAGCGGACAGAAGGCGGGCATTGTGCTGGACAAGACGAATTTCTATGCGGAGAGCGGTGGCCAGATCTTCGATCAGGGTGCACTGGTCAAGCTGAACGATGAGGCCAATGAATTTCTTGTGGATCGCGTTTACAATCGCGGCGGCTACATACTCCACATTGGCGTCGTCGAGGGCACCCTGGCCGTGGGCGATGAAGTGCAGCTGCATATCGATGTTGAGCGCCGTTGGCTAACCATGAAGAATCACTCAGCTACACATGCTCTCAATCACTGTCTGCTGCAGGTGCTGGGCAAGGATACGGAGCAGAAGGGTTCGCTTGTGGTGCCCGAGAAACTGCGATTTGATTTCAACAGCAAAGCAGCCATGACCATTGAGCAAGTGGCCAAGACGGAGCAGCTGACCCGCGATATGGTTTACAAGGAGATGCCCATCTATGCCAAGGAATCCCAGCTGGCCTTGGCCAAGCGTATACGCGGCTTACGCTCTGTCTTCGATGAAGTCTATCCGGATCCGGTGCGTGTGATATCCTTTGGCGTACCCGTCGATCAGCTCGAATCCCAGCCAGACTCCGAGGCAGGTGAACAAACCTCTGTGGAATTCTGCGGCGGCACACATCTGCGTAACTCTGGCCACATCATGGACTTTGTCATCAGCAGCGAGGAGGCCATAGCCAAGGGCATTCGACGCATCGTTGCGCTGACTGGACCCGAGGCATTGAAAGCTCTCAAGAAATCCGAAGGATTTGAGAAGGAGATCAGCACGTTAAAGGCCACCATTGAGGCGGATAAAACTGGCAAAGACTCCAAGCTGTACGTGAAGCAAATTGTGGAGCTAACCGAACAAATCTCGCATGCAACCATACCCTATGTAAAGAAGGATGAGATGCGCAATCTGCTTAAATCTCTGAAGAAGACGCTCGATGATAAGGAGCGTGCCCTGCGCGCCGCCGTCTCCGTCACGGTTGTGGAACAGGCCAAGGCTTTGTGTGAAGCGAATCCCAAAGCAAATGTCTTGGTCCAGCAATTGGAAGCATATAACAATACCAAGGCGCTGGACGCTGCCCTCAAGCAGGTGCGTTCCCAATTGCCCGATGCTGCCGCCATGTTCGTATCGGTTGATGCCGACTCCAAGAAGATCTTTTGCCTCTGCTCGGTGCCCAAGAGCGCCGTCGAGAAGGGCTTGAAGGCCAATGAGTGGGTGCAGCATGTGTCGCCTGTGCTCGGGGGCAAAGGCGGCGGCAAACCCGAATCCGCTCAAGCTTCGGGCAGCAATTTCGAACGCGTCGACGAGATCGTTCAATTGGCCAGCAAATTTGCCCAGGCCAAGCTTAACTAAATTGCTTCTCATACAATTTGCATACTCAAAAGGCTTTTTCACCACAAAGAACTAAAATATACAAATATTTTAGACTGTTCCAAACAGTCGGAAATGTTGCATTTGAAATGGATTTCTGCTTATTTATAAAAAATTATATTAAACATTTGTACAATTTTTTCTAATTATTGGCAAAAAAAAAAATGAGTTTTTGAATTTAATCAACTTATTTAACGATGGGGGCTAAACAAAATTTTAGTTGTAATTTAATAACTAGAACTTTTAAGAGATTAGATAAAACTGTTTTTCGGCAGGCAAAGATGCCTTTAGCCTCGTTCGATACATACAATATTATTTTATTTATTAATTTTGTATGACAATGTCTTTATTGAATTGAGTTTATTGATTTTTATTTAGTTTATTAAATTGAGTTCATTCAAGGAACTTAAAAACCACTTATGGTAAGAGAGGGCTCTGTTTGTAAGATATAAAATTATTGGATACATCAATTTTTATTGAATATTTTATTTTAATTGAGTTGGGAATTTTCATACAAGAGAATATCTATAATTTGTTATTTATTTAATGTAGTCGGGAAATATAGCTAAGCACCGAATAGTTCTATTATTCAATCTTATCAAAAATTAAATAAAATATTCTTTACCTTCCGCGGCAGGTGTCGTCGCAACTTAAATTCTTACAAAAGTGCCAAAACTCCAAAGTAACTTTTACACCAATTCGTCTGTTAAATTCACTTGTTTTGTGAAAGTCTGGCAGTTTTTGAATTGAATAGTCAAACTAGTGCTTTCTGCACAATATCCAGTCGACGGCCTCGGCGAAATTTTTAACCACAGCCGTCGGTGCGGGCGAGATGGCTTCCAGAGCTTCTGGCAGAAACTTGCCTGTCTTGACGAGAATGCCCTGCATGCCCGCCTTCATGGCGCCTGCAATGTCGTCGTTGACATCCTGAAAACAATAAGTGTAAATCGGATAACAAATAAATATTTAAATCAATTCATCTTACATCGCCAATCATAATGCATTCGTTGGGACTCAACCCGTCTGGTATGGCATTGTTGAAAAAGAATTTATTTGGTTTGCCTATAACCGTTGCCGTCTTGCCCGTCGCATACTCCAAGCCCTTGACAAAGCAGCCGGGTCCCAAGGCCAAGCCATCCGAGCGTTTATAGTATTTGCCCTGATGCACGGCCACAAGTTTGTGCGACTTTTTCGCCATTAGCACACTATAAAGGAAAGTTTGAATAAAGCTTCAATGAAACATATGAAGTCTGCCTTCTCACCTGAACGCCTTATTTAGGTGAGCATAATCAAAGGCAGAGGGCGCCAGGCCCACAACAACCGAATCATAAGGACGACTCGAGTCCTCTTCAGGAAAATCTTTACGTGCATCGTCCGATAGCAAATAGAAAGGATTCAATTTCTCATTCTCCACATATGCAGCAGCTGCACTCAACGAACTGTATATCTCTTCAATATCCAGTTGAAAGCCCATTTTGATTAATAGATTGTAAAGTGTCTTTTTCGAGTCTTTGGTGGTGTTAGTTACAAATTTAACGGTAATATTACTACTGCGCAGCCTACAAGAAAAAAAAAAACATACATATATATGTATACATACATATTCAAGTCCATTGCAGTCTATAGCTGCTGACTTACCTATGCAATGCCATAGCAGCGTTAGGTGTTGGCTCATCCTCCACATGGAGTGTACCGCTAAGATCTATAAGCGCAGCTCTTACGGACATCTTTCTAAATTGCTCCAAACTTCTGCGGCACAGCATTAGATGACCATCGATATCACCCGCTATTAAATAAGTTCAGAAAAAGTATCGAGTAGTAGCTCGAATAAGAATCGTCGAACAAACTGTTGATTACACGACATAAGTCGATCTCGCATCGAAGCTCCTTTTCGTTATTAAAACCTAATTTAATATATGACGTTGCTTCCTGAAATATGAATTAAATATTATTCAAATTTTTCTTGATTTTCCCGAAGTATACTTATCCGAAGTATTCTAATCTTAGTTAACACTTTTATTTAGTAACATCACTAACCATAGTATGGTTAGTGTTAATATTGCGTGATTGTTTTAAGTCTTTACTTACATTATTGGGAATTCGTTTTATATATTTTTTAAAGTGCCGATAGATTGTACAAGGCGCACACTGATTGCATTCAATTGTTATCAATTATATATATCGATAAATATGCATGTATTATTGCCGGCACCGAAAGAAACATAAATAAAACCATATGACAAAATGTCGCTATTTCCAATTTCAGCTCAGTTAATAAGCAAATTTCTAACGAAAAGCCGAATAAACTATTGTCAAGTAGCCACGGCACTGCGTCCCAAAAAGAGCAAGTCGACAAGGAAAGAGGTAAATCAGTTATACAAATATATCAATGTTTACATAACTATTAAATGAAACATTTCTCATGCCAGGCACTATACTTTTCGGATGCGAAACGCGTACGAGCTATAGGCGGCAAAGGAGGCGATGGCTGTGTGTCATTTCTGCAATTGTGGTGCAACGAACGCGCCGGCCCTGATGGCGGCGACGGCGGGAATGGCGGCCATGTCATTTTCCAAGCCTCCAATGATGTGCGTAATTTTAACCATGTGAACAGCGTCCTGCAAGCAGTCGAAGGTGGCATTGGATCAGCTAAGGAATGCCATGGAAAGAATGCCAAGCACACGGTTATCAAAGTGCCCGTTGGCACCGTCGTACGGAATGCCCAGGGTCTGATTGTGGCCGATTTGGGAAGTGTGGACCTTATGTTTGTGGCAGCACGTGGGGGAGCGGGTGGCAAGGGCAATCGCTTCTTCACCACCGACAAGGAGACCTCACCCAAGGTTTGTGAGTATGGACCCGCCGGCGAGGATATGAGCTATATGCTGGAACTACGCAGCATGGCTGAAGTGGGTCTGATTGGATTTCCCAATGCCGGGAAGAGTACGCTACTGAATGCCTTAACGCGTGCTAAGCCAAAGGTGGCGCCATATGCTTTCACAACACTTCGACCCCATCTGGGCACCGTTCAATATGACGATCATGTGCAGCTGACCATTGCGGATTTGCCGGGCCTTGTGCCGGATGCGCATCGCAACAAAGGATTAGGCATACAGTTCTTGAAGCATGCCGAACGCTGCACCCTGCTGCTCTTTGTGCTGGATGCTAGCGCGCCGGAGCCTTGGATGCAGTACAAACAGCTCATGCATGAACTGGAACAATTTGGTGGCCGACTGGCGAAGCGTCCGCACCTGGTTGTGGCCAACAAAATGGATGTGGAATCGAGTGCGAGTAATTTTGAGCAATTGCAGCAGCAGCTGCAGCACCCGGAATTACTCGGCATTAGCGCAAAAATGGGGCACAATCTGGCGAAGCTTCTAGGCAATATACGCGTCGCCTACGAGCGACATAAAGAACAACAACGACAATAACATAATTGTTTTCCTAATTTATAATATTTAATTGTAATTATCTTAAATAGATTAGAAAATAAAAAAAGGTAGACAACTTATGAAGCTAAACACCCTCTTCAGACGTGGGCAGCCAGAAGGCCATGTTTGTGCAGGCTGAGGCGAGCATCATGTACTTGGGATTGAATTGGACGCATTGCACTGGACCCGGATGATCGCCATTGAGCACGGAGACCTTGTTGCCGGTGTCAGCATTCCAGATATGTACACGGCCATCGGTGCTGCCGGAGAAGATGAACTGCGAGTCCGGACTGAAGCTGGCCTCGATCGCAATGCCCTTGTTGTTCGGATAGCCAGTGAATGTTTGCAGCGGTGTGCCATGAAATGCGTCCACTAGTCGTATAACCGAACCATTTGTGCTGATTAGGATGGTTTTGCCATCGCGCGAAAATTTCAGACCCGTCCAGTCGCACTCCTTCTCCTGGTTGAGCTTGAATGTGACAAAGGGGCCCTTGTCAAAGGAGCGCAGATCGTACAGTTTAATGCTTTCCGAATTGACGCCGGCCGCAAAGATGAGACCCTCCGGATCGTAGGCAGCAATCGGCCGACCCGATAGATGCATCAGTCCCTGGCAGTTGGGTGAGCGCAAGTCCCACAGACGCAACGTTTTATCCAATGAACCAGATAGAAAGGTATCCTCCACGGGTGAGATACACAGCGAAATCACTTTTTTCGTATGGCCGGGAAAGTAGCGCAGATATTTGTTGTCATGCAAACTGAGATATCGTATGGTGTCATCGACCTTAGTTGAACTGTGTATTGCCGTATTGTTGGCATGCGTAAAATGTATCAAATCGACGCCATATTTCTTTGAATTCACAGTCCTTGATTGCGTGCCCTTCTCGCAATCGTATATAACAATTTGATCGTCCTCGCTGCAAGAGATCAGATGCTCGCCATTCGGTGCAAAGTCAATCGCATTGATTTTGTCTGTGTTTTCACGAAAGATTTTGGCTACTTTAAAGCTGCGGACAACTGAATCCGTTAATTTTATTTTCATTTTGACAAAACGCTTGTTTTCAACCACGCAGCAATTCGGCTTCTATCTTGTGTTATTTTCTTTATTTTCATGCAAGCACTAGTGGTGCGTAAATTGTAGCAACGAGGGCTGATTTCATAATCGATAAGCCTGATATCGATAGTTTTGGCGTCTCCTTATCACCGATATTTTAGAATGAAATATATTTTGAATATTTATTAAACTCGTAACAATTATATTGTATTTTATTTTTAAGTTTACATAATTCTTTACAAATGATTTAAACCAAATCAGTAAATTATTAATGCTTAACATTAATATGAATATAAGACAAAGATCCAATTAACAACATTCTGCAACATATTTATTTTACACACTGTATGCTATTTGCAAGTACATACATAAATATATATCATAAGCACATATCATTGCTCTACCTTTGCAGGTACTGAAGCTTCATAAGTATTGTTATTGCCTAACAGCTCCTTGGGATCCACATAGATTATGCCATCCTTGCCACGAGCATAAGGCGTCAAGCCATTCGTTTGTAAGTAAAAATCGCCATGTATACTAAGGAAACAAATAATAAATTAAATATATAATCTGAATATAAAGTACTTAACTTACTTAGTGGGACAATTATGACCCATGACAACAGGTTGCTCAGATTCAATAATTTTGTTTAGTTTGAAATCATCCCAGCTTTTGGCTGCAACCGCATCGAACTTAATTGGAAAACGGTCCGAGACGCTCTCCGCCCAGAACCACCAACTGCGCCGATGACTAGACAAATCATTATCGCTGAGCATTTTATAATTGCGCTTCGGACAGCCTGGCTGCAATGTCTTGCCACCGTTTGGCCAAAAGTCCGCGGTGCCCGTGCTGCTAGGTGCACCATATAACCAAGCATCTGTGTGAATAACATCCACGAATTCTGCATCACTTGCGCTTAGATGTGCGGCCAGACCAGCGGTGAGGTAGAAGAGGGGAAAGGCAGGATCCAGGCCGGTGATTCTATTTCAATTAAATAACAATGTTAATTATTATATAATTATACACTAAAAGCCAAAACGAACCTTTTAATTTTCAATACACCTTTGGATCGTCTAGTAATCTCACGGCCTATAATACCAGCCATCTGGCCGCCTAACGAATGTCCAACAATATGAAATTTCTCTATGTCCAGGCCATGTTCGAACATGTCCAGCAGAACTTTCGCTAGTTCCGGTCCCAATTGTTTGGCATTGACGACCGCATCAAAGATATAATTACCATCGGCCAGTTCACCCCAATCCAGAACAATTAGATTTGTATCATTGCGTTCCAGATAAGCCTCCGCAATCACATGTATGCTCTCCACATCGGGATCCTCCAGATATCCATGCAAATACAATACAGTATTCTTGTTCAAATCCAGGTGCTCATCTTCTAGCAAATTTTTGGAGTCATGCAGATCATAGATATCGCTATCAGCTACGCTGGGTCTGACATAATTAAAAGTATGTTAGCTTAGTTGCTTAGAGTAAAGGTTAACTGCTACGGCATACCCATAGTACAATATAAATTTGGCTGTCGTTAAGTCTGCCTTCGAGCTTTTGAGGCCACATAATAACCCTGAAAGTGTAGACCACAAAAGAAATAGAAGTAAAAATGTTTAATTACGTAAAATAAATGATGATGGGTGGGAAAGGTAAAAACGGTCAAAGATAATAAAAATTTCACAATGCTCGCATAACATTTAAGATTATGGGTTTATCTACTGCGATATATGAATTAATAATTGGGCCTATTTTCGCTTTTAAAAGTAAGCGAAAGCCTAGATTTTTAAAAAATTATATTACAAATCTTTCTTCATATACAAGGAAAACATCTTTTTCTTTTTTCATTCAAATTAAAAGTTTCGGACTCATAATACTTTTCACTTCACTTACTTGATTTATTTTTAATGGCTTTGTGCATATTTCTGCTGCAAAGAAAGGAATATTAATAGAACATAAACAATTTGATAACATAAATATTTACATTTCTAAAGTGTGCTTTATTTATTATAGGAATTCGATTTTTAATTATAATAATTATTTCCGGAATATCTCTTAGGTCTGTCGACTACTTCCAGTCAACTGCGCTGATTAATAAATACTAAGCGAAAATCCATCACAAAAATCACATTGAGTAAATCTAATTAAAGTGGGATTTGTGATAAGATAGCAAATACAGGCAATAGTATACAGTGGACGCGCATTTCGACGGATGAGCGTGGCTCGATTCATATTACATTTTCATAATATAAGAGTTTGTAGAATATGAGGTCTTTGGTTCAAGGAAATAGACGTCTAGGGTAGGCACGAAAGAGACAACAATATGTAATTGGCCGGCTTCAATTGGATGTTGGCAAATAGACCTTTCACTCTAGTTGGACTGTGGAAATACGAAGCTATGCATACATACATACATACATTCATACATATGTATAGTTGTTGATTTCAAAATCGCAGCCGACCACACTGCACCAAGCACTTGATTTATACTTGTAACAGTATTAGTTATGCCATAAATGTGTTTGGTGCCGTTAGAGAACACAAAAGAAGAAGAAAGTACTAACACTTCAATTTACATTTATTACCAGCAGCCCCATAGAGACACTCACTACCATCTGGCTAATCGGAGGAAGGGGCAGTTGAATGGAGACGGCGCTTACGTTTTAATAAAACGCGCCACTTGAGCTCAAAGTGCGATAGCCGCCGTCTATCCATGTAGTTAATAAATAGGCGGCGCTTGTAGGGGCCAAAAAAAGCCAGTAATATTTGTTATAAATAGATCTGTCACATGAACACGTTCGCCTGCAGCGAATAACCGTAACATAAATTGAAGTGCTGTGGCCCTAATTGCACTTTCTGAATTAAATCATAACGGACATACATACATAAGTTACATTTGCATACAAAAACACATACACACACACACTCACGTATCGGGCACTTTGACGGGTTTGTACAAAAATACGCGACGAATTAGAAAATTATTTATTGGCTTTCTCTTTAGTTACATGAGCAAACATGTATACACATACGCTGTTTACTGTAGTGTTTGCAGAACCATCAGTCAATATATTTGACATGTAATTTGTAATAAATATTAACCAAGCACTCCAAGAAACCTACGCGCAATGAATTTAAAATTCTTTTTGGACCGCACACCTTCATTAACTTGAGTCGTTAAGGTACAACGCGTCGCAACGCAATGACAAGCGCGACCGATCTGCGCTAGTAAACACACACTTGCTCTTTCGCTCTTCCTCTCTACACACACGTTCGTTCGTTTGCTCTCTGCAAAAGTGCAAACACTCTCAATCACACACGCACACACACGCAAATGGCTAAACGAGTATCATACAAAAACAACTTTGCCGTGGACTATCGAGTTGTGCAAACATCAGACAGACACAGCAAATAAATAAATAATTGTAAATAACTGTTGATAACTGTTAGAAATCGGCGCTTAGTTTGTAATGCCCAATTACATGTTTAAAGCTAAATGAGAACCTTTAAATAAACAAATCCAATATAGCGGCGGACTTTTGCCGAATGTGTTTTAACTTATGAACGCAATATATCGAACATATATAAACTTTTTTGAAATAAAGAGTATATAGTCATATTTTCTTTTACAATAAATTTTATTTTGCATTCAGATGCGATTAACCAATACATTTTGTTTTCAAAGTCTACACAGGTTTTTTGTATTGTTTTTTTTTTTTTTTATTTTTTTTTATGAATTTTTGCTTATGTGTTATGTAGTTAATAAGTATGTAAGTAATATATATATTCATGTGTGGCGTTTTCAGTGGCTCGTTATCCTTGTTGTATTGTTGCATTTTGAAAATGTTAAATATGTAGGCTTCGAGGCTCTTATGTTTTCTTTATGTTTTCTCCGCTGCAGTTTGGCGTCTCCAGGTTCTACAGAATTGCTTGATCCATGGTTTGGTTTTTTAACTACAAATTTCCGTTTTTAAGTGTCGCTACACAATAATTATATTTTTGTTGCCAGGGTGTGTGAAATACATACATTTTAAAAATAGAATAAAAAATTATAAAGTTGATTACGCTACGGTATTTGAAAAATTACAATCCATAAAACATTCGAAATGTGGAACCGGGAAAGAAACAGAGAAGAATGTACATCAATTAACAATTAGTATTTCGTTAATATATGCTTGGATTCAATTAGTAGTAGTTCGTTTCTGTTGAGTAACGCAGACAATTTATGCAACATGAACAAATTTTGAGACACTTGGAAACATGGTATAATAGGGCTCAATGGTATTCCGACTTGCTTATTGTTATATACTAGTCTGATCACACACACACGCACACAAACACACAAGGTGTTCACACATGACATGATTCTGGTTTTGACTACTCATCCTCTAACATTCCGAAACACTTTTCTGCTGCTGCGGCTGCTGCTCCTGTTCCCCCCCAGCGTTAACATTGCTATTATTGTTCTCGATATTAGCATTAAGCTCGAGCAGAACGCCAGGCTCAGCGGATGCTGCAGAATTGGGCGGCGGCTCAACGACCAGCTTGGACGCCAGGGCGGCCTCAAGCTTAAAGCCCATGCAAGGCGGCACTGCGGTTCTAAAGACATTCAGCTCCATTTCTAAAGGTTTGATATATAGATTATACTTGCAGCATATGGCAAAAACTTATGCTGAGTCATTGTGTGGCCGTGTGTGTAGAAATTTCTTTGCATCAGTTATTTTTTCTTACCGGCTGCTATTCCAGCAATTGCCTGTGCAGCGAAATGCTTAACATCCACATCAGCATCAGCATTCAGTTTGTCCAATGTTGGCTTCACTTGCGAATCGATAACGCTCGCCTCCAGGAACGGGGAAATCTTCTGCAATGTTTTAGCTACATTGAAACGCACATTGGCAACTGGATCGGCGGCGAGCAGCAAAACAGTGGGCAGCAACAGTTTCGTGGTGATTTCAGTGCCGCAAACCTCAGCCAAAACATTTAGACAGAAGAGACAGGTCATTCCTTAAAAGAATCGATATTAATAAACAATAGATAATAACCTATAATAATTTGTGCTTACTGTGCAAATAGTTCTTGTTGCGCGACATAACTAATATCATTGGAATAATGGCCTGCTCAGCCCAGGGCGCACCAAACTGTTCGACCAGCTTCTTCATATTTAATGTGGCGGCCTCTCGAATGGCATATACATGATCGTTCAGCCAACCCATGCAGAGACCGCGCAGCTTCTGATCGAAGAACTCCTGGCCCAGCTGACCAGCCAGCGCGGGCATATACTCAATGATAGCAAGACGTACACGCCATTTGGAGTCCTCTGCAAGCTCCACGATGGCGGGAAGAAGAGACTGTTGAAATGAAATTGAATGGCATAAGAACTGTAAACAATCGAAATTTTGTAAGAGTTTAATTATTTACCTGCGATAGCTGCTGAATACCGATGACATCATTGACACAATCCAAATTTGAGATTATATTCAGACGCACTTCTGGGCATTCGTCCTTCAGCTGAATGAGGAACAGTGGCAATAATTGCTCGACTGTTTGATAAGCACCCAGCATCGGGCTTAGACCCATTATGACAGAAGCCAGCGCTGACTTCACATGTGGATTGGGATCACTGACCAAATCGCGTACGTATGGCAAAATGGAGCTCAAAATGATTTGCATCTGATTGGCTTTGTCCAAGTTGGCGCAAAAGTCTTTGACTTTAGTGGCCACAGCGGCGCGCACCTCAGCCTCGGCATCCTTGAGCAGATACTGAAAAGCGGGCACTAGATCGACGCGTGTTATCTCGGGACCCACAGCCTTCTGTAGATCCACAAACTTCTCGGCGACCATATAGCGCACACGCCACGATGAATCGCTGGCACACTGACGCAGCGTAGGCAACACCAGCTGCAAAGAGTTTCGATATTAATATGGTTTATGAATATGAAATGGTAATTATTTCACTAACATGTTCAACATCGTCCTGTGGCAGCAATTGAGCAATGCTGACACATGCTTCGACGGCTAACAGTCGCACCGAGTCTTGATCATCCTGTGCCAGTTGTACAAAATTCGGTATCAAGTCCGATTTGAGATATTCCGTTTCGACCACTTTGGCGAATTCGCCCAATTTATTGGCTGCGGCACGTCGCACCATTGGCGTTTCGTCCTGGCACAATTTCCGGAAATTTGCACGCAATTCGGCCTTCACGGGCTGTGTGACGCGTGGATAGCACACGGAGAATAAACCACAAGCCGACGTGCGTGAGGTAAACCAATCGCCAGACACCAAACGCTGCAACGTTGGCACCACATGTATCTCCAAATCTAGAGCACTGTGCTCCGCAGCAACAGTGCGCAGAGATTCAACTGCCTTGTCTCGCACAACTGTTTCCTCAACAGTAGCTAAGCTTTCCAGCGGCGGCAACAAATACATCGCATACTCGGGTCCACCCACAAGACCTGAAAGATACACCATGCACACATATTTATATATACATATATATCCGTATTACAAATTTGATAAGAATCAACTATTTCCATACTTGTGAAATTGCCCAATTGATCGGCCAATGCGAGCAGCACTTCATCTTCATCGTATATGGTCTCAGTTAAAAAAGGTATCAGTTCGGAACGTGTGCGTTCCTCGCCCAAAGCAAGGGCAATAGTCGATAGCTTTTTGATCGAATTCAAACGCAGCTGCGAAAAGATGATAAATGATTAAATTATTAATCAAAACAAAATAATATATGATAAGAGAGTAAGTTAGGAGTACCGAATAATAAATACTCTAGCATAGATATCACATATACGATTAAATCTACTTAATTTTATAGTTTAACTGACGATCAGTGTTTCTTTTCTGATAGCAGACAATCAGACAAATTGACAAATTGACGTTAATCAGAAATATAAATTTGTTTATATGTATATTCTATTAAATTCAACCCTTACTTCGCTTACATATCTCATGACAAAGTTATAAGCATTGCAAGCCTATAAGAGTAGCTGCAGCTTTACTCACACACAAACACATGTACATATACTCGCGCTCATACATACGAATTGCTATTCACAATGTGACGCATTTTTTAATGCATAGTTATGTATGTATGTGTGTGTGTGTACACGGCTATGCTTATACATACCTACATACAATGTCAGATTATAACCAAATATACATTTGTTTAATATTGACGTTATAACTAACCTGCACATCCTCATTTTTCAATTCGTCAATTAATACCGCAATGGGATAAAGAGAATCATCGACAGATTTGTCGCTTGCTGCCATTTTTCTTTTCTCACTCACACAGTAGTATAGAAAATCGGTTTCTTTTCAACTATTCCGCACGAAATACACTAGACGCCCAACACCAAATTATCGAATTACTGTTATAATTAAATGCTTTCGCACAGTATTTATTTTAATTTATTTGAAAATGTCCACAATTTAAAAAACTTCTTTGATTGATTTTCCAGTGAAAATGCGATGTCGATTCCGTGCAAAAAAATTTTTTTTGGTTCTATGAAATGACACAACGAGACAGAACGATGCTACTCGATACTTTTTGCGTTAACAGCAACGTTTGCCCGGTAAACAGAATTACTCCCCCACTTAACAGACTGGAGAACGAGAAAATGCCGGAAAATAAAAATAATCGTATTTATATTTTCTTTTTTAATTTTCTAAAAACGAGACAAACTCTGTTAATTTCAGCAACTGATCGTCGCTGGCAACACGAGGTGTAGGCTCTTTCATTTTCGGCAGCAGAATTCGCTTATCACCATCCTGTTCTCGTGTCCAATCTGAGCAGGCGTTGTGCAGCTCCTCTGCTGTCATCTGCGCCATTTCCATCAAATTCTGCTCGTATATTGAAACGTATGCCGTAGACGTCAGGTTGAAAAGCTCCTCGCGTTGCTTGGCTATAATTGAATTATATTATATATAAGCGAAATATTTACATGATTTTTTTAGCCCCTGCTTACCCAAAAGATCATCAATGATAGGCTTATTAGTCTCGGACCAGTCGTATTTAATATGTTTAAAGAAATCTGCATAGTTGTTGTGCTGCAGTGCAAGATTCAATAGATTTAATTGGGCCAGTTCTTTGTTTTGTTCCTTTAGATTATTAGCTATACGCATCCAAAGAAATTTCGCATTGGCTCTGCAAGCATAGAATTCATAAATAACACACAAAGCATTAGCTTTTTAGCCTCACGCACA